CAATTATGTAGTACAAGACAAATGGTATTTTTAAAAAATAAAACAAAGAATGCAGAAGGGAAATTAAGGGCCCATTTAGCCTTATTAAAGCCAAGAATGAGGTTAATACTGTATCTCAGCAGGAAAAACGCAAGCAGGCCAAGGGAACACCAGAGGATGAGAAGAGCAAACCTGAACGTGCTGTTTTCTGCCACATGGCACTCACATACCCTGCTTGTTCAGTAAGATGGAGGAATTCAGCCTTGAATCAAGTTTCTTTTTTGTGATGGGCCTCAACCAGACAGCTGTTCTGTGATTTTACACCTGCATGGAGAGCTGTCTATCTGCAGGCATACATGTGTTTGCAGGTGGAAAGATTTCAAATTGGAATTTTAACAATTATTTTCATGCATTTCTTGGCTTCTGATTCTCATTAAGGTACGAGATGATGAGCCTACTGGCTGAGCCTATTAAAGTCTGGAGTATGAATTATATCTTTTGTTCAGGAACCCAAAGCCTATAAATACACATTTGAAGCGCCGTACAGTTTTTTTCATATTAGCCATGAAAAAAGGACAAAAAAGACTGGAAAGATTTATGGATTGGATAATGTGTTTTGAATAAAAAAAATATAAATGTTGTATTGTAATCATAATAACATTGTACGGAGCAAAGTCATATTCTTCATAAATAATTAACTGAATTCCAGAATTAAAATAGAGGGCCACATTTATTCACAACTCTGAGTATTTCTTTAAATAAAATCCAACAAAAACAATAAAACAATATTGTGCTTTTTGGAAGTGCAACAGAAACCTCTGAAATTATACTTGAGTTCACCAAATGTTCTGAGTGTCCCTGAGGTAACACACAAAAGTAATCCAGTAGTAGCACATTTTATCATTTAGGACAAAGCATTTGACCATTGTTAAGCTTTAACACTTCTTTGAAGACTGCAGGCAAACGATCATGTTTGATTCTTACTTCTGGCAGGTATAATATTGGAAAAAATACATATTTTCACCTCGTGCAATTAATTTAAGGTTTCATGGTACTAGCACAACAAAAGCTATCTTTGAAGTGATGTAATGCAGCTGGAAAGAAGGAAAAACACACATATTTGCCATGTTCCGTCATGGATATTCATTTACTCATTTTAAATATTACAGACATAAGAAATTACAAACCAATGTGCGGACAGTAATCTTGCATTTATGAAAGTTCTAATGGTTCCTTATTTTGTCTGCGTGAGGTTTTCATGGACAGAATCCCCAGGTACAGGACACAGAGGTGCAACATCCTTAGGGCTCTCTAACAGGATTACAAAACGCAGTCAGAAAGAGTTACAGCTAATTATTTGAGGGACTATGAACAAAAAGTTGGCTTAAACAATATTCTGCTGCTGGGGAACAAAAGTGTCATCTTAGGTGTATGTGTATGCACCTGCTCATTTTACTATATTATTTAAAATTTACTACATACAGTATATGTTTGTTTTCATGTTTATTTTTATACCTCATATGAAAATTTCCAAATGCTGCATTCCAGTGTAAAATGAAATTTTCAAGTCTTTATAATTATGTAAATGCTTCTACACTGAAGTGCGCAGCTGCTGAGCTACAGTGAAGATATGCATTGGTGAAGAAAGGTGCTTCTGAAAATCTGTAATAAGCCAGACACGATTATTAATAAATATGATAATAAATAAGGCTATTTTTCTGAACAGACTGTAAGCTTTGTATAGTGTGATGCCCAACCAAGCCTATGCAGAATGGAAATGCAAAAGACTTCCAGATCTGGTCTGTATTCCAACTAAAGTCCCAGTTGCTTAACTGTACCCATTATTGCCTTCAGGTCGAGAACATGATCTTTACTTAAAGACTGAAACATCTATAAAAGCCAGAAGTATTGAGGCTCTCAGGAACCTGGGTTAAAGACCATTGAAGAAATGGTCAAGATGCAACATCCCCTTGGGGAAGCTCAGTGGAGCTTAATTATTATTTTTTTAAGGGAAAGAAAAGGAAGACTTTCCTAATTTCAATGAATAACAGCAGCCCCCAATGAGTAAAAACCCCCCGGATCTGAGATCTCTATTCTTGATCCATACAGCTTAGATATAAAAGTTCAATGTGTTAGGAGAGGATTAAGAGATGGTAAATTCCTCCTCTATCTCTGTCACTCCTCTTTCACAAGGGGAATATTACTATGGAACTGCTGTGGAATCCAAACAGAGAATCGTGAACTGCATAAAACAAACTGGGGGGGGGACTAAATAAATTTGACTTCTCCAACTCAAGAGAACTGCCCATCAAACCCCTGTTGCGCTGGGTTTTGCAAGACTGTCAGTGCCCCTTGCCCGCAGCATGGCATCGGAGTGCCAATTCACACCAGTGCCAGGCGCTGCGGCCGCTCCAGGTTGGCACGGAACTTGTCCAGGAACTGGGAGGCCAGCTGGTCATCCACGAGCCGCCCGTCACTGGACAGGGTGACGGTCAAGAGCTGCCGCTGCTGGACTGTAGCTCCACCCTCTGGATCCAGGCAGGGGAAGAGCTCGGCCTGTGAGCGCCCCACTGCCAGAATGCAGGCCTGAGGAGGATTAATCACTGCGCTGAAGCCACTGATGCCAAACATACCAAGGTTGGAGATGCTACATGATGGAGAAAACAAGGAAGCAGGAAGCAGACAGGTTACAATAAATTAAAGTTCAAACAGTTCAAGTAAGCAGCTGTGTCAGCATGTGTAGGCTGCAAAGGAACAAGTTAAAGGTTTATTCCTGCTGAAAAGAGAAGAAAAGAAACATGATGTTTCCACAGCCGAAACGCTGTGTTTCCTTCCTTCTCTTTTCAGCAAAGTTCAAACAGTGCAAATCCAGTTCAGATCATAACTTTGTACTGCGTATTGAGGGTGTGAGCCACTGGGAAGGGCAGATATGGGAAAAAATATGGACTTCCCGGAGCTGAACAATTTCAGTGGTATCCGTCTCCCAGATAAGCATTTGTTGCAATCTACCACCACAAAATCACATGGAACAACATAATTAAGTACTTTCAAGAAGCAGAATTTTGGTTTGAAATCTAAAATGAGTGCCCTAGAGGGTCCACAGACAGGACGGATCAGAACCAGTTACATTCAGCATTGCTATCTTCTGTGAGGATGGAAGCTGAAGTGTGAATTGTTTGGGAAATCATTGTCACATGACTGTTCTTACAAATGTCTAGTCCAGAGTTTAATCTGAGTGTTCTGGCTTCCTCCCAGTCTGAATTGTCCCTTTGTATTTCTGTGTGTGTGCCCTGCGGAGGGCTGATGCCCTGTCCAGACTGTAGTCCCACTTTACCCCTGTGCTTGTGGATTAGGATCAGAGCTACCAGGAAATAAGCAAAGTGTCTGGTAAGAAATGGGTAGATGGATGTTTACACAATGGATAAAAATTACACTATATCTCAAATTCAAGCAATAGTGATAACAGCTGCTTTTGTTGCTGGACTGAAGTTTTGCAAAGGTCTGTAAAAAGCAGTTAGTTCCTTCACAAACAATTTGTAATTCTGATGCGCTGCCTTTATTATTATCAGCTTCTATTAACGTCTATATATTCTGCACAAAAGAGAAGTACAAGCTATAGTATATTTATTAGTCTTCCATACTATGATAGGAAAGGCGTTTTGAATAACTCAGAACTAGAAATATAATATGTTGTGTAAGAATAATCTTCATTATTGTTAAATAAAATCAATTTAATTCTGTGTACACAGAAGGACCGTGCCTTTTTGACAGTGTAGTATCCCTTGGCAAAGTGGGAGTTATGCAGGATTCATATTTCAGGAGAACATCTTCTATTTACATAAGCAGCAGCGACCCCCCTAAAATGCTTCACTCTTTCAACCACCCTTAGCAGCACTGCAATGCTGAAGAGCAGACTGCAAAATAATAGCTGATCATTTTCTGCAAAACAAAGACTTCAGTCACGTCGGCAGTACAGCACTTACCCACTAAATTCGTTTTTTTTTTTCACTTTGAAAACTACCTGAGGTCAAACTAATAGCGTATTATTTAAGATCTTCATATCGGAAGAGAGGTCTGCACTTGCTGTCTGTAATGCATGATCAGGCCTTTTGCTTGTTTTTCCTGTTTAGGAAGACCAAGATAAGCACCCAGATACCTGGCCGACACAACCCTGGCAATCCAGGCATCACATAGTGTACATGCATTTGCAGTGAAATGACAGTGATTTTACATAAATTACTGTATAGTCACCCAAAAACGTATTTTATAAATATTTCCATCTAAAGTCATGGTGTGTCTTAATCACAAGTGAATACAGTGTATATAAATACAGCAGTGTCTCCACATTTGGAAGAGTTTGTTGCAGAGAATCATCATGAATAGCAAAAGAGATGGAAGGAAAAGACAAAGATTACAAAATTATCTTTATGCCATTGACACTAATCCAATGAAATACATTTGCAAGATAAAGAATTAGAAAATTAAACAAAATAGATACAGAAATTTTAGAAATATTCCTGTGGTTTAGTAATCAGCACTGTACATTTTTGTATAGTGCTTTTAACAGCAAGGCCTGATGTGCTCTATTTGGGTTTCCTGCTCTGAGAAGATAAGCAAACCCCAAGTTCCTGTGATTTTCGCAGTAAGAAATCAGTGAGTCTCTGGAATCATCCTCTGCCAGCAGAACAGGTAGCTGCTTGCAGGACTTCCTTCAATGCCGATCAGAATGAGATATGCAAATATGAATATCAGCTGTTAGGCGGATAGCAAGGCTGGCACCTTGTTTCCCTTTGTGATTACATTAAAGGCTTCCATTAAAGGGTAAACAACTAACAAGGAAGGTTTAGGCATCCCTTTGATGGAGATATTTTCTGTGGATTGGAATG